ACTTTCAGCTATTTCAGGTATCAAAATGTTCAGCTCTTCAAGGACATTCATGCTCCTATTCAGAATCTTTCTGAAATTAATAATTTTGCAATATGTAGCATTATTTTGAACGTTTTGCACCATTCAAATGAATGGGAAAATTCTACATCATACTTTCAGCTATTTCAGGTATCAAAATGTTCATCTCTTCAAGGACATTCATGCTTCTATTCAGAATTTTTTTAAACTTCATACTTTTGAAATATTTAGCTTTATTTTGAAAGTTTTGCCCCATTCAAATGAATGGGGAAATTCTACATCATACTTTCAGGGTTATTTCAGGTATCAAAATATTCAGCTCATGCTTCATGCTTCTGTTCAGAATTTTTCTAAACTTCACAATTTTTAGATTTGCACATCTTAAGTTAAGCATACTTTCAGGTAAAAACACAATTTCAACAGTTAATTATTCAGCAACTCTTCAGCTATTCATACTGTAAACAGCTTTTTCATATCTTTTATGGTTTTTTGCATAATTGATGTTTACATTTTATGTTTCATTTCAAAAGCCACATTGTAGTAGACCTCAGGGTGTAGGACTACTCTCTCACACACTCACATACACCTACTTGTTTTACCTAAATTGTGGGGACCAATGGGAAAAAATTTCACATCTTAATATGTTCAGCATACTTTCAGCTAAAAGAACCATTTAACTATCAAAATGTCCAGCTCTTCAAGGACATTCCTGCCTGTATTTATTGATTCTCATCCTTCAGATTATTCAACAAGGAACTTCAGCCATTTCTTCTCAACCATTTCAACTAAGAACTTCAGCCATTTCTTCTCATCCTTCAGCTGTTTCAGCAAATTGATTTCAGGCAATTTCAGGGCGATTCATCAGCATACCAGCATCCACGAGCATTTTCGACAGGAAATGCATTTCTCTAGTTCTGGGAACTTCCACCCTATTTTTTGGCACTTTATAGGTCCAGCATACTTTCAGCTATACAGGCCGTTCAGGTCTTGATCTGTTCAATTCTTCAAAGATATGCCTGCTTGTATTTTTCTTTTTTATTATGTTTATACTTTTTAATTGATTCAGCTTTATTGTTTGCAAAACAAGTCAATGGGAGCTCAAAGTGCTGAGTCAATGATACAGTGTTGGAGTGCCATCTGGTGGTCATAAAAATGCAACACAACTGCTGCTCTACCCTCCACACTGTCACCTCCCCCTTAAAATGTTACTTAAGTAAAAGTAAAAAAAAGTATTTGCAGAACATATACTTAAAATACCAAAAGTAAAAGTATTAATTATGCAAAATAATTTACATTGATGTACATCATACTATTTGATTATAATTACTGGTGTATGATTGTGCATAGAACATCTAATATTGCAGCTGGTAAATGTAGAGCTGATTATTACTACCTTATATGCTTATAATTTGAATTACTGCTAGGTAGCTTGTGAATTTCATACCAAGAATCAACAAATCTTGTGATTATATTGTTTTGTGTTTTATTAACCTCATTCTGAAAAGTTATCAACTACAATTATCAAATAGTGAGTACAATGTACAATATTTTTTTGAAACATAGGGAAGTTGAACTATAGAGTAGCAGAAAATGAGAATACTGAAGTAAGTACAGATACCTCAAAGGTGTACTTAAGTACAGTACTTAGTTACTTTCCACCTCTGGTTTCCAGGGGTGATGTGGTAATGGCTGTTCATGTTGTAGTACAGTATGTGGTAATATTCCTGGCTGTTGTGATGTGGCGCCATCTCATGATGCACACCTAGTATAACTGCAGAGGCCTGTTGAAAGTCATGCTGGAGATCTCAGGAGATCAGAAGACAAGATGCTAGTGTGTTAGTGTCTTAACTTCTATTATCCTTGTCATGAATCTGTGTTTAATATAAGACAGATCCAGTAGGGTGTGGAAGGCTCACAACCAGATGTTGCCTGTCATCACACACACAAAAAATATATAATAAAAAAGTCTAGGAAACAGGCCCAGGTGGCTTAAAAGCACCAGATGGAGATAAAATAGCAATTAACCACAAATTACTCATCATGACAGTGGAAACATTTGAACCTAAATCAGTCAGAATATTCTCTGGATTAGCAGTAATGGAAATAAGGCCACAGACCACATTGCCAAAAATTTTCCTAGTTTAGATTTACGGACTCAGACGACCATTTATGTTAAATATTAAAATAGCTGCAATGTTCAGTCTTCAGTCTGAACAGAATAAGTGGTTATGATGATGTTAGATAATATGTTTTTCATACCACAGTCTGGAATTAGGATCAAAGAAATGCAGCTATATATTTTCTGTTTTGTGATTATAGTGTCCAGATGAAACCTGCCAATGGACATGCTCTTCTAACTGTTGTAGCCATGCCTGAATGGATGTGTTTTGTAGGTTAATGAAAACAGTTTCTTTCTGCTTCAAATATTACTGTGTACATTTTCATGATGATGTAGTGCTAATCCCTTTACTTTATACAGCCTATTGAAAAGCTTCTATTGTGTGTCAGAACTGAGGACGTGTCAGTGGGCCGTCTGGAGAGCATTACAATATAAAACCAACAGGGTATGAACTATCTTGGCTGTTCCTAGTTCTCATTGTCTCTCTCTCCCTCTCCTCTATTGGTTTTCTCTCTCATACCTCAAATGCAAAAAAAAAAAAAAAAAAACTCAGTGTAGGAGAGAAGGCAGAGAGACTGGGAGAAAGGGGGGCTGGAGGGTTTGTGGGTGAGGCTCACTTGGATCCAGAACCCACTAGAGCAACAACTGATTGGAGAAACAAGACAGAAATTTCTAGAGCTACTTCTCAAACAGGACTGAACTCTGCAGAAGGAAAAGGAATATTCAGTCATTAAAAGGCCATCAAGGACTCCTATCAACACCAGAAGACTGTTGAAAGCTGTGACTGAAGCCATATGGACTTACTTTTGTTTTCCTTTTGGAAGCTTTTTACTAGGTTGTGTGCTGCAGGAGCACTATAGGAATATAGGAAAAGGTGTTGTTATCACTGACAGGACATTTCAGAAGCAGAAACTGTGAAGTCATTGCTGCAGCTGCAGTAGTTTCAATACTGAGATACTAAGAGAAGTGCTACAGTAGTAATGTCAGGCAGAGTGGTTCCTGTCTTTCTCTTATCTTTGTGTCTGAATGTGGGTTCAATCCAAAGTCAGGGTTCCTCCCAGGATGCATTTGTAATCCAGTACCTTGAGAGGAGACTGGTTCAGATAGAGGTAGGTGGCTGTTGCACTTACATATGACATCAAGTATCAGCATGTACCAAGATCATGGAGACAGCATAGTGATACCTACCCTCAATCACTGTAATTCTCACTATCAACCATTACAATATTTGCAACATCACCCATGCAGTATATGATCTTGTATAAAGGCTACAGTTTACCATATTCTACCAACTTGTACTGCTCCGTTTAATATTTTACACTTTTCTTGTTACTGTTTTTACTTGATCTGAGTTTGCACCATGATCAGATAATCTGACTGCAACATTTTCGACATCTCAGCCATTTGACTGATTTGTATATCTGGGTATCTGACAGAGTTAATGGCCAAGCAACAGCAAAACACTTGAATGTATTAAACTGAGCAAGGATGTTTTCTGTTACTTATGAGTTCAACTTGTGTCATTTCCTCTTTCAAATGATTAGTTTAACATTCATATGACAAAGAAAAATGTTGTCTTTTTCTCAAACAATGTACTGTATGTAATAGTAGCCACTGTAGCCACAGCTGGTCTAATAATACGTTGACCGTAAATTCTAAAACATAGTGTAACAGTAGCACAAGCAGAATTCTAAACTTGGTCTGCTTACTCACTGTTTTAAAATTAAGTCTTAAACTCACAGTTTGCCAGTATTAGCTAACATTAGCCACCATAAGCAGCCATAGACAGCCATGCTAGAATGTAGTTTAACAGTAGCACAAACACACAAAAAATAATAAAACCAGTGAATACATTTGTTCACTCAATATATAGCTAACATTTGCTAGCATTAGCCACCATCAGTTATACTGGTCATACTGTGGATAATACTGGACCAAGAAAGACTTTAGCAGCAAAATGAGTATGTTGAATTAAGCAAGGGTGTGTTTTGTTGCTGAGTTTACATTTCCAATTGTAACAAAAAGAATGTGTTATTTGCTTTTACAAAAGTTACATATTCTTGCTTTAATTCTGTATTCATACTACTTTTTCTTCTGTGCCAATGAAATCAGGAGCGTCTGAATCAATGTGAGCAAAACACAGTGAGTGTCACTCAGAAGACCTATGACCTCTCCTCTGAAATCAGGGGTTATCTGTCCATTCTCGGTGTACTGAGGTAGGCCTGTTTGAAAGATCTCTTAACACTTTACCCAATTGGGCACTGTAAAAATAATGAATTAATGGATTAATATAAACTAAGTCACTTTCGGCTTTTCCCGTTTTAGGGGTCGCCACAGCGAATCGTCACACTGACGACTTGCATGTTGAGGATGTTGAGGTTCTCTTTAGGAGTGACCGGGATGGACAGGATTAGGAATGAGCACAGAGGGACAGCTCAGGTCGGCTGTTTTGGGGACAAGGTCAGAGAGGCCAGATTGAGATGGTTTGAACATGTGCAGAGGAAGGATAGTGGTTATATTGGTAGAAGGATGTTGGAGATGGAGCTGCCAGGCAAAAGGTCAAGAGGAAGGCCAAAGAGGAGATATATGGATGTGCTAAAAGAGGACATGAAGTTCATTGGGGTGAGAGTAGAGGATGCCGGGGATAGAGTTAGGTGGAAACAGATGATTCGCTGTGGCGACCCCTAATGGGAACAGCTGAAAGAAGAAGAAGAAGATTCAGTAAGTGACTAAATCAAGGAACTACATCTGTTAATAAAAGAAATGTATAGTAGCTAGATGAAATAAGTGTTTTTCTCCATAGATCAGAGATGAAGAGCCACATGGACAGTGTGTCTATGCGTCTAGATCGGATGGAAAGAGAGCTGGAGTATCTAGAAAACAAGATCCCCACCCAGTCTGATATCGAGATGGAAGAGGCTCTGCTGGAACAACAGATAAAGGCTGCAGAACTGGACCAATTAAACAAAAAAGCCCAGATCCAAGTAGAGAATGGTAGGAAGCTTGCCTGTACAGTGAACAGTGTGTGTGTGTGTGTGTGTGTGTGGATGCCACAGATAAGGATTATAGCATTAATCTGTCTAGTCTAAAAGAACAAGACAGAATAAGTAGAACAGAAATAAATGCAGAATGTCTAGCTACTGTACTACAGTTCAGAATAAAAAAAACATTCATCCATTCATTCCTGGCCTTCTTTTTAACATCTCCAGACTGCAGCACAGCCCTGAGTCAAGTCAAGTCTCTCAAGATTGTGAAGAAGGCAGGAGACATCTACGGTTCCTGGTTTAAAGACCCCTCTGAACAATCTGCTAAGGTCTGCTCTTTAAAAGATGATGCAATTATAGTAATAGTGAACTGTTTATTGCAGAGAAATAGGGTGGGCCAAAAAAGCTGTGGTAGATCCAGCTGCCTGGTCAGCACTGAATGGCACACCAAATATATATCCTCCAGGAATTGGTGACCAAAATATTAAATGAATAAAGGGTTGAATGTTAGGATCTTGTGTGGATTCAAAAACCAAGAGCTTCATTTTAAACACTGCATTTCAGAGCGTGTATTCTAATGTAAAAGTTGTGGTAAAACTACTACAAATATTACTGTAAATAGCCAAGAATGGAAACAAAAAGCTGAGTTTTACAAGGCAGTTCTTACTCACTTCATCTGTCTAAAATTTTCAGGTCTATCTACTCAGTGGAATTCATAATGACACTCTACTGGAGTATGCGTCTCTGCAAAGCTTCGCAGAGAGGACCACCACCTCACCTGTTAAGGCAATACAGCTGCCGTTCCACTGGCAGGGGACAGGTCACATTGTCTATAATGGATTTCTCTACTACCACAAGGCAGATACACCCAACCAGATAGTGAAGGTGGGCCATACTGACATTTTGTGGTTGACTTCCTTTGTTTGTAAAAAAACAGTCACACTGACAGCTCACATTATTTGGGAACAGTCACTAAGAACTGTTAATAAAAGCTGAATGCAATCCTCAGATTTAAGACTCTGAAATGATACCAGTATTGAGTAGACTTGTTGACCTCCTGGCTGGAGACAGACTTGAGATTATTTCAAGCAGACCAGTCATTGGGGTGTTTCCTTTACTGGTTAATGGTCACAGGTCACTGTGCACCAAGACAACCAGGCACAAGGACAGTTTCTTCCCCCAGGCTGTCACTCTGATGAACACTTAACCAACGACAGTATGACTGTACAATAACCCTCAGTGCAATACCTGTAAATATATCTCGTACAGATTATACAGATTCGTACAGGTCTCTATTTTTAAGTACTCTATTTTTTT